CCCCTGCCTATGGCAGGGGGTTTGGAACTTGATGGTCTTCAAGGTCCTTTCCAACCTAAACCATTCTATGATTCTATGATTCTATGAAAATAATTATATTTATTGTAGTAATATCCATGAATTCCATGATCCCATTGTCCTGTGATGAAATCTAACATTGTCTCTTATGGTTTCTTCCCATCCTTCTTGTTAAAGTAATCTAAAATACAGCGTTCTCGATTAACAATGATGAAAACAGAACTATCTCCATTTTTTTTACACCCGTCAGAATGGTTGGGATCCATAGTCAACATTTGTTTTGTTTTGGGCATATGATGTTTCTTAAACTCAAGTACTTTTATTTGTTTAGTGTAGCAGAAGACACTTTCTTATGTCTCTAATATTGTTTGCAGCAATTTTAAGTGCAGAAAGCTGAAAATCAAGAGGTGATCATTAGTCACACAGATTTTCCAGCTAGTTAAGTTATCTCTAAATTCAATGATGTATTGTAAAACTTTACTCTGTGTGAGATCTAAAGAATATCTTAGGAAATGGGGCAGGCATTCACTGCATTTAGCTGTTCCCTTTGGGCAAAATGTCCTTCTCACTCTTGTAACTAAAATGCATGGATTCAATCAAAGGAGATGGGGTCAGGGTGAGCTAGGGGATAGAAGAGGAAAGGACTGACTTCTCTTTGACCTGGCTGGCTCTTTACAGTAAACTGTCATTATTTCATGGGCATCAAATTTTGTGAGAGACATTAGGTCAAGACTCTTAGAATACTCATTAGTGTCTATAAATTCTCCCCATAGCTGTTGGGGTTTAAGTACATTCTGTGCTAGTACTGGTCGCATGTTAATTTACTTTGCTTTACTCACTATTATTTAAATGTCTTAGCCCCTGAGCCTTCAGGGTTAGGTGGCATGTGCCAATTCTTCAACAAGAATTATGAGACAAAAAAACATCAAGGTTCTTTACGTTCTAGATTAATGAAAAATGTATTTTGTTAAAGACATAACAAAAAGAAAGAACTCTGCTAGCACTTTATAGACCTGAAGTAAAGCCTGCAGAATTCTTTATTTTAGTTAATAAAGAATATTTGATTTTCCACACTTCAGAACGATAGTTTGATTGAGATTGGGAATGATTGTTTTTGATGATAGACACGCAAGCAGGGTAGAAGACAGTTTCCTAGCTAGTTTTTAAATCTGAACAAATATGAACTCACTACTCTTGACTGCTAGAACTGGGTAGGGAAACTATCTCTCAGTCTGCCTGAGAGTTGTTGATATTTCTGTGTGTTCTTATTCCCCAGCCTGAAAATGGGATCAAATCAAACACTTCTTTTTGCAATTGACTTTGAAATTTTTTGTATTTAAATATGAATAAATAAATATTATACCCCGTATGTGTTGCTGTTACAAGCCTTAGACATTGACTTTGGCCTTTATCCAGTAACCCTCTTCCTGTGAGTTTGGGTCTGCAAACTTGCAGTCGCAAATTTGGGGCTGTTTCTTGGGACTCTGCATATGGCTTTGGTCTCCTCTGTTCCAGAATCACGAATTCCTGTTGGAACACTTGCAGAGAAAAGCTACTAGACTAATCAAATGGAGTAAGCAGAGGTTTAAAGGGTTCTGGTTTTTAGCCCAATGACAGGAAAAAAAAGTCTAAAATCCTAAGTTTACTCTCCCAAAAAACCTGGGACATAAAACCTAAGGAAACAGAAGGCATTTTTATGCTTGAAGCATTTTTTCTTAGAACAGATCTTATATTCAAATATCATTATATCATGTATTAAATTAGTTTAGTAAATACGGTGAATGATTAAAGGAATTGGCCCTCTATGTCAGCTGGATATTTAAAAGAAATCAATAGAAATGCTTGGGTTAATTGAGTCAGCAAGCTGTGTTTGACAGCTGAAGGATCATTTCTTACAACTTGAAGAATTTTTTTTTAAAAGGCTTGATAAAATCAGAGTCCAGACCAAGAAAACCTATAAGCTGGGCTCTTAAAGGACATTAGTTATTTTTTCAGAGTAGCAAAAATAGAATCAAACACCTTCGGAATTGTCCCTGCAACCTTGCATAAACAGTAGAAAAATTGCTGCTGAGTACTGAATTATTACTCATTAGCACTGAGTCACTTCCTAGCTTTTAAGTTTCACATGGTTCACTAACTTCTTTGTTTTCTGTGTGTGTTGAATTTTTCTTTCCACAGAGATTTGCCTTTTGACCAAGGGCCGTCGAACTGCCAGTGTACGAGCAGACACATACTGTCGCCTGTATTCCCTCTCAGTGGACAACTTCAATGAGGTTCTGGAAGAGTACCCCATGATGAGAAGGGCCTTTGAAACGGTGGCAATTGATAGACTTGACAGGATAGGTATTATTTTTTTTTTTTCCATGTTAGGAATTCTTAAAACCTTTCTACATTTTCTTTTCCCCGAGCTGCAGGATAAAATGCCCAGATTAAACCCTTCTTAAAAGTTTTGTTTCTGTTACACTGCAGTAAATGTTCTGTTGATCTATGAATAAGACATGCATCCAAACAAGAAATTCTGCAATCTCACTTTTAAATAATAAAAAACTTTGAGTTTTAGAAAGCTTTCATACTCCTCTGAGGATTATTTTGTATACTTTAATTATCATTACTATTATTTATTAATCCCGTCTATTTCTTTTGCTGCCCTCAGCACTTGATATGGTTTATTCTGTTTCATCAGCAGTAGATGACATTTTCCTACATAAATTGTTTACCGATGACATCTATAACGCTGGGAAGAGCTGAAGCCTCTCAGCCCTCACAAAACCCATGTTTGTTGAAGTGAATTAATCCTTTGCAGCAGGGCTCTCATTTTCCTCACAACAGGAGCGCTGCTAGCATTGATGGCTGCACGCTGGCATTACGCAGATCTGCTTGCAATCAGAAAAGCAGGCCAACGATATCCAAGTGAAAGGCAGAACAATATGGCAAATTATCAAAACAGGGTGTGAAAAGTCTGCTGTTGTGCATCCAGACATTCTGGACCTCTCTAATAGGCCATACTAGATATAATAGGTGGTCTTTGATTGGGAGAATTGCACTCTGATCATCATTATTGACACTGGTTTTAAAATGCACCTATGCATAAAAAAGAATTTATCCTGTTTGGTGGTTTTTCCTCAGCTCAAGTGTAAGGATTTCCCCACATCAGTCTTTCTCAATACAGTTATTTCTGCAGTTTTTTCAAAGTGAATACAGACAGAGTTGCAGGGCAGTGTCATAGTGCTGTCTAGCCTAAGTTGAAGACGTAATATGGAAGAAAGCATGTTTTCTTTAATATAGCCAAGGTAAAGAAATTAAATACCGGTACACATGTTTCTAATATTTAATAGACTTGTATTAGTATTTTACAGATTGTCAGCACTCATTTATCTCATCAAGACTTTTCAAACTCTTACAATTTGCCTCTCAGGAGTCTCTGGAAATACAGTCCAGCTCTAATATGTCCTTGAATAATATTGGTAGTAAAGTCCAGTCTGCTCTTGGAGTAGCAATCCCATCTTAAGGGCTGTGTTTACAATATGAAATTTACACAGGAAAAAAGATAAAATGTGAACCATTTTATTATAAAAAGGAACCATCAAGTGCCATTGTGTTCCTGTGCATCTGATGACACAGAATAGTGTGTTCATCTTGCAGACCCTGAGAGCCATCAAGCAGGCATCAGGACACAGTGTACAGCAGTCATTGTGCACGCAGGTGTCACAGTATCCATGAGTTCATATTAGTTCACACACGTTTATTTAAAAGATGATTTCTTGCAAGCTAGTGGTCACTGGTTACTAATGTCTAATAATTAGTTCCAGGGAATGTGCTAAATGGCATATGTATTTATAACTTATGTAACAGTTTAGTGGAAATTAGGACAGTTTTGCAATGAGAAAGAGAGATGTTACACATGCGGAGCCCGATGGCTTTTTCCACCCTGTTGCTCAGTAAATTACCATGGTTACACTTTCAGAATAATTGCAGTAACCACAATACGCTACAAGCGAAGAGGCACAGAAAGTCCGTGCGCGTCTGAGCGCAGTGGTGTTATGAGAGCCCATCCGTGCCGGTGCGGGGAGAGGGGGGACGGGGTGTTGGTGGAGGCCAGCCGCCCGTCGGGACCTGTCTGCCCGCCTGGGTCGCCGTGGCAGTGCCCGGTGTGGGTGGCACAGCCTGCCTCGCAGCCACGATACGTATCCCTCAGTGATGGGGGCCAAAACACAAAGTCGGAGCGGGGGTCTGCCCCTGCGTGTCAGGCTCGCTAACTCTTCTGCCTCTCTGTGAAGGGAAGAAGAACTCGATCCTCCTGCAGAAGTTCCAGAAGGACCTCAACACCGGGGTTTTCAACAACCAGGAGAATGAGATTTTGAAGCAGATCGTGAAGCACGACAGGGAGATGGTGCAGACCATCGCCCCGGTGAGCTTGCAGCAGATGCCCGCCCTGAACTCCAGCACCTCTGCCTCGTCGTCGTC